GAATTCAAGAGCTAGAGAATGAACTGTTCAAAGGTCTAGAAGGCCTCTCATACGTAGATAGATAAATCCACCTCAACCTATTCGCGTTATTTTTCTGTGGTTCGCTGATCTATTTGACATTGACTTCAGGTATATTGATGGATGATTTTGATAATGAAATGTTTTTTATTCTTCTTCGAACTAAGACAGATCACTTTAAAGGATGCTCTAAGAATGTCATGTAAAAATTAATGCAGGTCGATCAGTCTCCTATTTTCAATAATGAAGCCTGGAAAACGTGACCTTCAACAACTTCAAAAAATTGGTGAGCTAAAAGAAATAACAACCGATTACAAATAAAAAGGCGGCCTGGTTGAACATCTGGGCTACCTGATCCTGCCACCTAGATATTTCGACCGGCTATCTAATTTTGTGTGTTTCTGAAAAGTGTACAACTTACCGTTGTACTTGATAAAAGGCATAATCAGAGATATGTTGGTTGGTGGCAATATGAAGTGGAAAGAATGTTCGTTATTAAGATGTCCATTGATTGGATTGCCACCATGATATCGATAATGATAATAGACGTGTAGGAAATCAAATTCTAACAAATGATGTGAAAGGGTGTATCGGTTGTGATTGATTTCAATACGGCTTGTGAAATTCGATCATTGATGTGATCATCTTGACGGACATCTTCCCAAGACGCTTGTCGACGAAGGGGATTAATAGGAATGAATGCTAGACGAAATGTCAGACATTCGGTTAATATTGTGACTTTCATCCCTGAGTCTTAATTTCTCAATAAAATATGAGCTATTTTTTGGAGAATTTATTTTGGGTTGTCTAACGTAAAGTATATTTTCAACATGATTGCGTATGAAAAAAGTTGTCTCTGTGATGTGATTATTTGTGAAAAGAATATCAATATCAATATGAGTATGTTATACTGACTACCATTCAAGATAAGGTTAGCTGGTTTGAGATATTTAAAGTCTGCTCCGGATGGCTGGTTGCGAAATTTCATAATTTTCCATATTTCGAATGAATTGGATGATGTTTTAATTATGTGATTAACTCGCTGGGTAAGTGAGTTTTGGTCAGTCTTCGTACTGATAGTTTTAGTGCAAGAATTCAGAGTTAATGTTAAGGAAACGTATTGTTGAGAGTCAGTGTAATGAAGTATTATGGGTAGCAAGCTGAAGATAAGAAGTTGGGTTTTAGGAGTATAGGTCTTAGTAAGTGGTGTCTGAGAGTTTCAAGTTTAGGAGTTAGGAATGATTGGTTTTAGGAACAGTAATTAGTTCAATAATGGTGTTAAGATTCCCAATCTTTCGTATTATTATCGCTTTAGTAAATTTAAGAGCTTAAACACAGAGGTTGAACGGTGATTGGTCATCCCAAGATCACTGATAATTTCACCGAAGGTCGTAGGTTTAGTTAAATCATGCTGTTGCATCATAGAAAATCCCAAATCAAAAGTTTGAATGTTCTCCAACTTCGGACGATGGGAGCCTAAATAATTTCTATAGTCTATTTGCTAATCTCAGGCACAAATCACTGAGTCTGTTGACTGTGCTATCGGACAATGTCATGTGAAAATAAATAATGGATGTACTGTGGAGAAATAAATGAACCTACTTTTAAGTGAACCAAACGTAAGCAGCAAAGTAAAGAACATTGACATGGTTAACAATATATTTAATATTGATTAGACAAACTGAAGTTCAGAGACAAGCACATTGGCTTAACTTCACACGTGTTACGAATTTATCAACACGCCGTAAAACAACGTGCACAATCAGTGAATCCATATTTCTGAGAATGAATATAACCTCAACCTGCTTACACTGTCAGTTAAACGTCAGAAGAAACTAAATAACTGACCACAATCCAACTTTTGAATAAATCTACGTGTTCAGAAGCAAAAGAGAAAAACCGGAATTCAAGCTGTACAATGTTACATTGTATTTTGTTAACGACTGAAGAATTGCATTCACCGTACTGTTTATAATGTTATAACGGTTCGCTTTTTCTCTTAACATGAACGGGATGTTAATTTACATTACATGAACATCCAAACTAGATTCACACTCAGTGTTTACTATACAGGACTTCAACACAACTCTGATCAAGAACACGTAGTTAGTCTGACTAAAACGTAATTATATTTCCACACAGAATCCCGACACATTCCAACAACAAATGGAAAATCAATAAATCAATAACAATACATAGAAAAGATATAGGAATATATAACTCATATGACACCTGTCAGACTATCTACACATCTGATTAAGCAGACAACACATCAGATGTTGTTCTATCTCAAATTCTCTCAGATTAAATTGTCAAATAATCCTATCGAATGTTTCGTAGTCATGAGAAAGCGAATGACCGAATGTCAGAAATTGTTTTAATGTGAACTGAGTCAGTGCCAAGTCGAATAAGATTAGAAACCTAGGAATAATACTTTGAAGAATCTTACAAACGCTTTATAGGTCGATGTATAAATGAAAACTATGGACTTGAAACACTATTCACCAGCAAAGCAGCATATACTCATTTAGATCCAATTGTTTGAATACATTTTAATGTCGTGATGCTTTAATTTACAGTCTCACCTCGTTTAGTGGAAAAGGGTTACTTGAAATCAGCAACATAAAGATTCAGATTATGTAAATTTTATAAATTATGTTTTTTGTGCGATGGAAACCGAAGTACAAGTAATGATCCAGTGAAAACCTGGTAGTCTTCAAAAATATAAAAACGGCATCTTACGATTAGATGACAGCGTAACGTGCTTCCTTGCGAATTGGTTGAATCATAGTGATCTTATAGTCTATACAAATAGCAATAAGTACACAAGGTTGGCTGTACACTTTCAATTCGTAACCAATAATCACTTCCTCTATTCCTCCAATCTTTTGGTTTGTAACTGATGGCTTATACGGTAGTGAACGCGGTCGAAGGCGAGAACAAGCTAACGTGTTCCAATACAAAATAACGAAGTTTCATAGTAAAATTTGGGAACTATAAAAGGTATATTTCATTTACAAAATGTCAATCAATAGTTTTAAACTTGATTGTTCCCTCGTTTCCAAAACAATCATTTTGTGTTCTCGTTCTTTTCTCTTTGAACTTCTTAAGAGTCTGCCTCCAAGCATTTCACTTTTCATTGTAGATATATACTACTTATAACTGTCGATATCGGTAGCATGCAACACACTAAATGTTTGGTTGCCGTTCATTATAGATCACGTTCTGCCACAAACAGCGGAGGGCATAACAGAGATAACCAGGAAACTTGGTACCGATATCATCGATCACACAAATCACGAGCGGTAAAGCACGGGGATCAGACGACATTACAGCAGAGGCACTGAAAGCAGATGCAGAAATACTCCTCATTCTTCTCAGTGAGAGTTGAGATGAAGAACATGTACCAACAAACTTAAACGAAGGATTTTGATCAAAAAACCAAAGGAAGATGATCTCTGCAAGAGTGATAACTACGGGGAAAAGCTGTTTTCTAAAAATAGGGATAAGTCTTCATGAAAGTATTGTAAAACAGAATGAAGGACTATGTAGAGGCTCAACTTCGAACAACTGTGTGGTAATATTTGTTTAGGTAAATTTGTACATTTGTATATATGATGAATTTTAGAACCGTTGTTACCCAATTAATTTGTTCTGATTTCGATTGCGGTGCACCTGTATCTGTATCCACGTACAGTTATTCAACAACACAACCCATTGGACTTTAGGTTTGAATCTTACAACAATGTGCATATGAAAAGAGTCAATATCATACGGAATTCCGATGGTGTATTAAAGTGTGAAATTGTGCATTCAGGACAACTTACTGATACTTTCGAGGTAAAGACCAGTGTGAGCAACGATTGCTTACTCTCACCCTTTCTCTTTCTCCTGGTGGTCGGCTGTATCATGAAGACTTCTACATGCAGAGGAAAGTATGGAATACAATGAACAACTTGGATGCAGCTGGACGTTTAAGGCTTTTCAAGTGACCTGACTCTTCTATCACATACGCAACAACAAATGCAGGAGAAGACAACCAGTATAGACGCAGGATCAGCTCATTCGATGAAAAAGCTTTGGATGACGTAAAATTCTTTAAATATCTGGGCAGCATCATCGATGAACACGGTGGATAGGATGCAAATGTAAAGGCTCGGATCGTCAAAGCAAAAGCAGCATATCTGCAATTGGAGAACATTTGGAACTATTGCAATCAACACCAAAGTCAGAATTCTAAATAAAAATGTCAAGACAGTTCTACAGTATGGTATGGATACTTGAAGAACTACGAAAGCCATCATCGAGAAGATATAATTAATTATTAACAGTTGTGTACACAAAATACTTCTGATTCGTTGACCGGACACTATCAGCAACCAGATTCCTGTGGAGGAGGAAATGAGGAAGAAACTCAGCATGTGTACGGGACACATATTGTGAAAATCACTTAATTGTCACAAGACATGTCCTCACATGGAATCCAGAAGGCCAAAGGAAAAGAAAAAGGTCGAAGAACACATTACGCCGAGAAATGGAGAAAGTCATTAGGAGAATGGACAAAATGTGGATAGAATTAGAAAGGACAGCCCAGAACAGACTGTTTTGGAGAATACTGGTTAGCGTTCTATGGTCCTTTGGGTGGTTACAGGCATAAGTAAATAAGTATATATGGATATCATTATTACATCACTTATTTTATTTTTAACAATCTTCTCAATGAGTAAAAATGGATATTGACCAGCAACGGAATCCAGGACGAGTGTTCCGTTCTATTTTGGCTTAATACAAAATTGTGTTGGTCTATTCACTTGTCTTGTTTTTTAAACAATGACAGCACGCAAACACATTAATAAATTTAAGATGGAAAATCATTCTACGACAAAAAAACAGAAGAACTAAAGTGATTTACATAAATTCCATAGTAACAGCTTTATTTAATGAACAAAAGTGAGTAAAACATTCAGTAAGCAAACATGTGTTTATTTCAAATTGAAATGAACAAACATTGAATGTGTACACAATATATAGACAGCTCCAGTAATAAATATTGCTGATAGTATAATAATAACCAAATATATCAGATAGAATTTTCCTAAATATAATGAAAATTAACAAAGAAACAGTTTTCAGAATGATGAAAACGTTAGTGAAAATAAGATTTAGAATGTTGTAAACATTAGAATAAGTTTAGGTTAGATAAATTGTCATGTGTTGTACTTAAATAGTCCCTTGATCTGATTGAGACCAAACAGTAATACTGTTTGTTGTTGGCTCAATGCTGTATGAGTTGAAAGATCATGCGTTTACGATTGATCCTCCCCTGCAAAATGGTGAACTGACACACTGACGATGACTCTCATTCTACGACAAAACAATCATTTACATAACCCAAGTTTACAATGGTGATCTACATTAGCTCTATTCAACATTTCGATGGATTAATGAATGTGATATCTGTTAGAAGTAAGAACTAATTTTGTAATAAATACCGGAGTGATATAATAACTGAATTCATTCAACTGTTCAATGATAATAACATAAATAGATATTTGAAAATGGTAAAATATGACATCAAGCAAAGGATGAGTTCAGTGAATTAAAGAAAACTGTCATTGGAACCATCCAACTCTAGTGAAGGAGAATGCAAATAATACATAATGCAAATATACATTAACTATCCCAAACTTGGCCGTTCATTTTGTAAATATCAGTGCGTCGTCTGATACTTAATTGTTCTTATCTTTTCATACAAACTGCCTCTGTTCTCGTTCTTTCTTTCTTTCTTTCTCAACCTCCTTCCGCCAGACATTCTAATCCTGACTATTGTTATATAATACTGATGTCAATATAAGAAGCACACACCGCACTAATATGCAGTTCAGAAACAAATTTGTAACGTTATCAAACGACAATCTAAAAGCACGAGTACAATCAATTTGAAACTAACCATCAAATGATGAATTTTCAGTTATTGAATAATGTGTATAATTTTTTATTCTTTCATTCTGCAATATATTCACTTCATTAAGTTGTTTTTTAATTAGAACATTTTTTCTGTTAACTGAAGCAATGAATGACATGTATATGTATAAATCAATGAATATAGAACATTTCATAATGTAACTAAACACGATTAAATAATGAATGAAAATACTTCATGATGATTACAAAGCGTGTTGAAATACTTGGAAGAATGATGGTTCAACACATACTACTACTAATACTTACGCCTGTTACTCCTAATGAAGAATAGGCCACCGAACAGCATTCTCCAACACACTCTGTTTTCGGCCTTCCGCTCTACGTCTATCAACATTTTGTCCATTCTCCATACGTCTGTCTCCATTTCTCGGCGTAATGTGTTTTTCGATCTACCTCTTCTCCTTTGGCCTTCATGCAGTGAAATGTCTTGTGACACAGTTGGATGCTTTTCTCAGTGTGTGTCCTATACATTTGTGGCATTTCTTCCTGATTTCCTACTCCAATGGAATCTGGTTTACTATCTCTCGCAGTAGGTTTTTGCTGATAGTGTCTTGCCAAAGGATCCAACGTATTTTGTGTTAAAAACTGTTAATAAACACTTGTATCTTCCGGGTGATGGTTTTCGTAGTCCTCTAAATATCCGTCGTATACAGTAGAATTGTCTTGACATTTGTTTTGAGAACTCTGACTTTGGTGTTAATTGGCAGAGATTTGTTTTGAGTTGCAGATGTTTTTCAATTGTAGATATGCTGCTCTTGTTTTGACGATCCGAGCCTTCACGTCTGCATCAGATCCACCTATTTTATCAATGATACTGCCCAGATATGTAAAGGGTTTTACATCCTCTAAAGTGTATCCATTAAATGCTTTGAGGCTGCTGCTACACTGGTTTTCTTTTCCTCCATTTAATGTTGCATGTGTGATAGAAGAGCCAGGTCATTCGAGAAGCCTTAATCGTCCATCTGCATCCTAACTGTCCATTGCATTCCGCGCATCCCTACAGATATTAACCTCCTCATGATCCAGATGATCACCGGGAGAAAGAGAAAGGGTGAGAGCAAGCAAACGTGCCTGACACTGGTCTTTACTTTGAAACAGTCAGTGCATGCACAATTTTGCAGTTTAATTCATCATAATAATTCCGTATGATACTGACTGTCTTCTCAGAAACGCCTTAGTATCAAAGGAGCCTCTGTAAATTCCTTTTTTAATGTTTTGTTTGTGAAAATACCTCCATGTATTTATTTGCAACTCCTTCCTATCGGTTTTTTTAGTTGAGCGCTTGTTAGTCTTTCTGATGCCATTTCAGGGTAATATTTTCATTCACGAAAGTTTTCTAGTTTTTCTTTTTCCTTCATTGAGTTTCTATGTTTTTTCCTGAACTGTAATTATGTTGTTTTAGTTGGTGTTTAATCCTGATGCCAGACATATTGATTGTTCGCTCTTTGATTGTGTTGTATGAGTTGACTGGGATTGTGCACTTTGCTTGTGAATTGAATCACGTTTCCAGAATTGGAAACACTTTGTGTTATAAAGCACCTAACTGTTATTTTTTGAACGGATTTTTACTTGATCTATTCAGAAAGGATAGAATAACACTTAGATTTTGGAGCGTTTGGTAATTTTCCCACATTCTTTATCAATTTGCCTATTTATTGAAATTTAAATCGAATATTGAAGGGACAATCACTGATGGAATAATTTAGCGGTGATATTTGTTTAAATAATAACGTACATTTGTATTTGTGATCAAAATTTACAACCGTTATTTTTCCTATCCTTTTGTTTTGATTTCGATTGGAAAAAATCGCGTATCTAAACAACCCAGACAGTTGTTTTTCAAACAAACCTTGGTTTGAATTTTACAGCCTCCATAGTGTTGTTCTGTTCACATTATCAAATGATTTTTTGTAATCAATGAAGATGATATTTAGTGATGAATTCCATCCCATTGATTGTTCCACAATGATCCGTAGTGTTGTGATTTGGTCTGTGTACGATCAATCTTTACGGTATCCAGCCTGCTGATCTCTGAGTTGAGCGTCTACGGTGTCCCTCATTCTGTTTACCAATACCCTATTGAAGACATTTCATGGTATTGAATGAAGAGTGATCCCCATGTGGTTATCACACTAGCTGAGATCGTTTACATTTTATATTTTGGTCAAAGTCATTTTTTCCAGTTTGTCGTCATGCGGATCTCTTCAATTGTTGGTGGACCAACATCAAACGGAAGGTTCGTTAGCAGTACTTCGATGTTCATTAGGTTCAGTGAAGCTGAATGATTCAAAGGTTCTTCGAAGTATTTTAACTAACTGTTCCGTTGTTCTTCAATGTTGGTGATTACCCCGCCTTACTTGCTTTTCACTTGTCGTTCTGGTTCACGGTAATTTGCAGCGAGTTTCTTTGTTGTATCATACAATTGTCTCACGTTTCCTTCCCTTACAACCTTTACCGCGGTCATCGCTAATTCTTCCACATTTTTAAGTTTGTCGGTTCTGATGCTCCATTTCTCTTGCCTGTTTACTACTGTGTATTCGGCTTATGTCTTGGCTTTTTCCACTCTTGTTCGGCTGGTATTGATCGCTGCCTTCTTATTCATCATTTCTTAAATCATATCCAGTGTATCAACAGTGATTTATTCTTTGTGATGGTACTTCTTGTGGCCCAGAACTTCATGAAGTGTAGAAGTGATTGCCTCTCTGATTCCCCTCCAGTTGTTCTCTATAGAAGTTCCATCTCCATTGAGTAGGTTATGAAAGGGCTGGAACATGTTGCTGAGGGCTATCCTGAATTTGTTAAGTTTGTCAGTATCCCGAAAAAAGCCATATTAAAATTTGTGATGTTGTTCGCGCCGTTGTTCAGTGCTTCTCAAGTTTCAATCTTGGCGACCAGTAAATGATGATGTGATGCTTTATCACATCCCCCCTGGTTGTCACATCCTCAGTAGTTCTCCGGATCTTTGTATTGATACAGATATGGTCGATTTGATTCTGTGTGGTGTGCTCCGGTGAAGTTTATATGGTTTTCTGAATGCGTTCGTGTGGGAATATAGTGCCGCCTATGATCAGTTTATTGAAGGTACATAGGTTTGCAAATCTTTCATCATTTTCGATCCCTTCTCTCACGTCTCCGTATCCAGTGTTTTCAATTCCAACCTTGGCATTTAAATATCTCATCCGAATGGTCATGTTCTTTGTTGGGCACTGCTTGACGATGGACTGCAAATTATCGTAGAATTGCTCTTCAACGTCTTCCTCGTGGTCTTTGGTAGGTGCATATCATTGGATGACGTTCATTATAATGCCCTCTCTCTATGTTTTGAAGGAGGCTTTGATGATCCTTGACCCATGAGCTTCCCATCCCATAAGTGAGTTTTGTGCTTGTTTGGACAACATGTATGCAACTCCTAGTGCATGTGGAGCATTTCCTTCGTCATGACGGGAGTATAACAGTCAACGTTGTTCAACTTCCGTCCAATTCGTTTCACTAATTCTAAGCACATTCTGGTTGTAACTTTTCACCTGTGCAGCAAGTCCCACATCGTACGAACATTCTATGTAAATAAATTAATCGTTTCCCTGGTTGTCAGAATGAGCATCAGCCTCATGACCTCCGAAGGAGCTTGGATTTTATCATTAGACGTTATAACTGTTCTAGATGAAGAACGTCTTACTCTCAAGGGAGACTTTAAATGATTAGAATGATTTTTTGTGGCAAGCGCTTTTTAGCGAATGGGGTTACTCATCTCATATCCAACCTTTCTCTTTTTTCGAGCAGACACTAGCCCCCGGAGGGGCTATAGGCGCAGTCGATTCGAAGGTTAGTTCAATTAAATTGATTGACTTGATGAAAGATCAATATACATCCGGCTAAAGACTACATTACTATGGACTCCGAAAATAAATTGTAACATCATGAAGCCGAGAATTTAAATGCACGAGTACAATCAAGTTGAAACTAACCTTCAGTTGATGAATTTTCAGTTATTGAAGAATGTGTATTATTTAATATTGTTTCATGCTGTACTGCATTCACTTCATTATGTTGTTTTTTAATTAAAATATTTCTTTTGTTAACTAAAGGAATGAATGACATGTTTGTGTATAAATCAATGAATAGAGAACATTTCATGATGTAACTAAACATGATTATATAATGAATGAAGAATAATTCATGATTATCACATGACTTAGAAAAACGATGCTCCAAAGGATAGTTCAATTAAAATGTGTGGTATGACAAAAGGTTATTACTCCGATGGTGCTTTTTATAATCTCATTGTTGAAACTTGCGGTTACAAATTCATTATTTTATTTTTAAAGTTGAAGTCATTAATTCCCCATGCTATAATTAGGCCTCAAAAAGTTTATATTTAGAGTATTACAGGTTATAAACTTTTTATTCTTGGCTGTTGTAGTTTGCTAATTGAAGACGATAAATCTTCAATTCTAAATTGTGAATTACTCCTCACTGATTGTGGACCATCTGTCATGAGTCTAGAATATGTAAAGATGATTTAAAGACAACTGTCCTTTTTGACAGCTGAAAACGAGTGTGATCAGGTCTTTCATTAATTGATGACTGTGTGTTTGAAGTACGAAGAATTACTCACGACTCCAAAGCTCTCATTTCTCTGCGCAAGCAAGAAATGTCAAGAACATGAAGACAAACATCAATTTCATCAACGCTGTAAAATTCAAAGATCCGGATAGGGTAGTAGATAAGGCTTTTGAGCATCGAATCAGTAGACCGTACGCAAAAGAAACATTGACGACATTGCTTAAACAGAAAAATCTAAAGGGAAGGGAAGGGAAGTTGACGGTCTAACAATGTTATGTGCTTCCGATTGACAGACTATCTACAATTTGAAAAATGTCCGCTACAATATGTAAATAAATTTATGAATCAAATACGAGCCAGTCAGACATTGATGAGATACTACTTTATCGAAATAATATTACAGGTTCATTTCAGGTCAACTCAGATTGTGTTTACAGCACTTCACGTCACTGGAGTGTCAGTTATGAGGGACTGGAAATGTCTGATTTTGGTTAGATGTAAATTTTATAGTTGTGACGAAAATATGGCTCCCAACTGACGTCATGAACGATGAAGTGGGTACGAGAATTTCTCAGTGGGAGAGATGTGCTGAAGATATATATCAGCGCACACTTCAATGGCTTCATTCTACACAGAATAGAATGAACTGATGTGGCGAGATTACGCTGTTGTTACTTCAATGCAAACAGCGCAAAGCCTATGGTTAGAAAGACAAACCTATTTTTCTGGGGCACTAACTCCCAGAAAGATAAGGCACGGTTTCTGCCAGATACCTCTGACCACGGATAACAATGCACATTCCCTCAAGGTTAACAAACATGATACAACCCATGAAAGGTGATTTCGCAAGCCAATCATCACAAACTTTAGATGTTCAGAAAGTGACGAAAAAAGCGAAGCTCAAAACGCTAGCTACAAACACAAATAGAAAATCTTCCTCAACGATTTCTAAATAAGCTTTTAGTTGATGCTAAGAAACAGATACAATAACAAGGCCTACAGTAAGACTAGATAATTCCGAAACAAATTCTAAGCTGAAATATATAAACTAACTCAAAAATGTCCGTATAGGTTCATGACCAGAAACCTAAAAGTCATTAGGCCTGTCATTCAAATAGGTATAACGGTGAGTATCTTGCTTAACAGGAAATGACAAAATATTCAGCTCCCATTTCATCCCTCAAATGGACGGAGAACTCACAAACACAAAACATTTCCCATACTAGAGCCAGCTGATGGATTAAGAAACACCTCACTGAATCTAGGCTATGTATTAAAGAATCTGAAATTCTTACAACCATTAAAGTTATCAAAACGTGTTACAATCCATTCCATAATTTTGATGCAGTGAGCAGAGGTCATCACTTCACCAGTCAATGAAGACGGCGAATGACCTGCTGTTGTTTCTGTGTGTAGTGTGTTCACTCTGTTATCCTGATTTTCATCTGGAACATTTTCAGTGCTAATTCAAGCAAACAATATTCCGAAGTACGTTATCTCAAAATTTAATTCGACTTCAATAATCAACTTCAATAGGGATGTATAATAATGGTATGTAGCACAAGTTATTCACACCGCCTTGATTACTTTCAATGTGATTCAGTAATCATGAGACTATTATCACACAGATAGGCGTTACCGAACCCATGGGGTAGGTAAGTAGGGAATCGGAAAACTGGAAGAATTACAGTGTACTTATGTATGTAAGTCTATATAAACTCTGGTATGTGAAATGTAATAAAAATGGAATGTATTTGAGCATAAATATAATAAAGCTGTCAATGAAAATACTGATAAGTCTCACCTTTGTTTGAAGGTTTTACCTTTTGTGATAGTGTTTTTTCGTTCATAGTTGATGAAATGAGTGTTGTTGTTGATTCTTCCAACAGATTACTTTGGTTCTGTGTTCCAGTCCCAACTGAAAGGAAGCATAATGTTGAAGAAGTTCAGAAATCACAAATGTAATTAATTTTCCTCGATTTTATCCATTTGAATGTCAGTGCTAATGTTGATTTTCTTGTTCTGGTGTGTACTTTAACTGGAGTAGAATGTGTATAAGAATTGTATTTATATACTAAACAATACATCTGCAATGAGAAGAGGAGTATGAGCCTAGCACCATTATTTTCTATCTATATCTGTCCCGGGAAATCCTTTCCAGTTCGTCCTAGTCTCTATTCATCCACTGCATGCCTGCTTCTAACTGTTGGCGCAGTGTGTTCCTTGGTCCTCGTCTTTTTCGTTTCCCTTCATGATTCCAAGTTAGCGCTTGCCTCATTATGCATTTTGATGATTTCTTCAATGCGTTTTATCTCGAAATCCATTGTCTTCTCCTGATTTTCTCTTCAGAAGGAGGCTGGTTTGACCTTTCTCGTAATAAGCTGTTGCTGGTGCTACTTCGTCAACTGATATTTAGTTAGTTACGTAAGCAATCGTTTATAAATATTCGTACCGATTTGATGAATGTTGTTGTAGTCTTCCAAGTTTCAGTTCTGTACAATAGAACTGACTTGACATTTGCATTGAAGATTGCGACTTTGATGTTGATTGCCAGTTGTTTTGAATTGCGTATATTCTTCAATTGAAGGATTTTTGTCTTTGCTTTGTCAATCCTTCTCTTTATGTCTGCGTGGTGTATTCGTTATTCTGAAACAGCTGAATATGATAAAACTGTTTGATGATGCAATGATACTTTGTTAATTTCTCTGGAATTGTTACTTACGCGTTTTGGATTGATGTGAAAGTTCCTTAGCAATTTCTGATAGATACTTGTTCTCAACTAAAAAAAATGAACAAGCTACATTGTAAGTTGTCGTACATTTAACCAGTAAACAATGTGTTGTAGAATAGGTTAAATATAATTAACAATGGTATGCGGGAATCGCATTTCGTTCCATTTTCGGATTCATTAATTGGATGGATCTACATTGTTGAGTCTCGAACGAAATGAAATGCTCGTCTTTGATTCCACTGTTAACTGCATTTCAACTATTCTATATTGACTTGTGTCATAGTGGCTAATATCGAGACAATCCTCCCAGGATACATCATAGATCAATCGAGACTGGTTAAAAACAACAACTACAAGGTAATCACATATTTGATCGTTTGCTTTCATATCTTAATCATAATAGAAATTGAATCTTAAGGAGTTAATGAGGCGAGACTATAATTTATGGACAAACGTTTAAAGAATCTTAAGTGACCTTGAGAAATGTTAGTCAATCAGTAGATAGTCAGAATAGAGTAAAAATATATTATACAAAACCAAATAACTAAAGTGGATACAATTCTTTTATATGGTCCAAAAACTTATCGATGTTGGAAAAAGTTTCAAAGGTTTCAAAGTCGTAATGCATAAAGTAGAGGAAGTCATCCATGCGGCTCCATAATAGTTGGTCTCTGGATCCGTGATAATGTCACAAAAACCCTCTCAGCCTCTACCACACAGCTTCATTATTGTTTGTGTACTCCAGTTGTGTAGGTTTATCATTTTTATAACGGATATGTCCCTACAATACTCAAACCACTGCACAGCTGAAGCTTCTGTAACATCTGCAATTATTGCAGCCAATGTTACTGGTGCTTTTATTATAAAGTTAGCGGCAATTATTATAATGTGCCTTAGTCTCAATCTGGATCGAGCGATAAAGGTTCCAATTATTGCGATCGTCTTCCTTGGATATATATTACATCGACGGACAACATCACGGTTGTCTGCACAAGGTCTAAAAGTCATCTAACACTCGTATTTACAAATACAGGAACTTCTTAGAAGTTTCATTTGTTGTAGCCGCCTAATGGTCAAGTGTTCTCTAAGATACTCTGTGAACCGATCGTACATGATCGTCAGGTACTGAAGTTGGCGCCGTGACCTTGAAATCCCTCAAACGCTTCTGATTGACTCGTCCATAAATTATGATCTCACCGTTAATTAAATGAATTATGAACTAATCATGAATCTAACTTACATGACATACGATTTAACCCGTAAATATTAATGATCCTTGAATCAATCAGGCTATTTAAATACCCAATATCTCCAAAATTTATAACTTCATCTATGTTAAACACAAAGGATTATTACAATTCATATGGATTTATTCAATAATTACCATGCATAGTTCAAATACTAGGAATTCATATACAGAAATGATTCTGCTCGGGTATGAGGTCAAAGTAACTTCACTATATCTCACGTTTGCTAATAACAACACATAAGTAACTATTAAGCTTTGTACCGGCGAATGAGTTTGTTTCATGATGTCAAGCTCCGTAGGTAAAGAAGCTCAATCTTTGGAATATATCAATAGTAAATAGGATATTCTGTAGTAAAATGGTCTATCTAAAGGATCTTCGTTTCGGTTGCGTGTCAGGTGCGAGTGGTCACAGGTTAGTATCCTGGATAGACCATTCGACTTGGACGACCAACTGTATATTCTGTCGTTAATGAATGAAAGGAAATCGATCTAATTTCTATGAAATCCGTATAGTAAATTAGACTAATAACTTTGTTTGTAGGTAACTGAAAAATGCTGTTGATTGTAATTTAAAGTGTGAGCAACCCTTCTCAACGTAGACAAATATGTGAATATTATGATGTTACATGAAACATTATGTAAACATTACTTGTATCGTTATGCGGTATAAATTCAAGACAATTCTCTTCTGTGTAATCTGATATCCTCTCTGTTCATTTGAGAAAATAATGAAATAGTTAACTATAGTGAATTTCCATGACGTTCGGTAATCGTTCACCTTGATAACTGTTACAATACCAATCTTCACGGTGCACAAAATCGGAAGGCGAAGAGAAGCAGCAACTACAGTTTATTGTCAAATAACTCAGGACAGAAAGCTTAAAGCACGTGAGCGAATATCAGCGAGCGAGTAACCGAGTAGGCGAACGAGAAGTAAGCAATTACATAGACAATTTAATGTCAAATTTAATAAGGGCAAAGCAGAACAAAACGAAAGGTGATTATAGGATTTGCTTGCATACATATACTAGGAGGAGTATGAGTCATAGAATGATACTTCAGTAATCAACATTTTGGCCAGAGTGTCATGGGCTCTATTGATCATAACAGCACAAAGATATATGCGAATTGTTACCATTTGAATAACATTATCAGTTAAGTAAGTTAATAAAAAGACTTAAACACAATTAACCATGATGAAAATTGAATGCAGGATGGTTGCTAAAATGTACTCGTCGTAGAATAGACGATGTGTTTTATGGTTGAATCCGTGTTCCTCAGCCTCACAGTCTCAACCGTTATCACTGTGCTATTAAATCCAAAATTAGCAAATGTCCCCACACAGATGACTACTTTATTTCTTATCGGCTAACTCAAGCTATATAAAACAATAGCAATGCTTATCATGAGACACTGCAGACGTGAATTTTATCACTACTCGATAATGAATCACACTACCTCTGAGAAGGTCTTTCTACCTATCAAAAAATCAACACAATAAGAACATGAAATGCATCTTAGTAATACGATTTGGTTATGGAGACATTGATGGGAGTTCGATCAACAAAATGATTGCTTTATCATTTGAATTCATGAATCAATTAGCGGCAGAGCACCATGGCAAACCTGAAGCATTGGATGGCCATTTCGTCCTAGTATAGAACTCCTGTGAAGTGCGTATCCACAACTCTGTCAATGGAACCAGGACACAGGACCTATCGGCTTCTAGGCTTTTGATGGTGTTCTGGCCTTAACTGACCAATGGATTCAACTATTAAATGATTAACATCTCCATAAAACCCCATTGTGATAGTAAATAATTACTCATAATTAGTCGACAAACGAATATGGATATGATAAGAATTTAGTTACATACAACATCGAATCTTACTTTCAATGTCCAACAATTCACTGTTAAAACAGTCTTTCAATATCTTCGATTTATTAAGGTATATTTCTGTGTATTGTAGATGAAACCAGATAAAGAAATTAAAGGTTATCTGTTATAATATTACGTAGTAAAGTGTACTGTAACAAAAATCTGCTCAACATTTTAAACTACAACAGTCAAATAGATTATGAAAATAAAGACTTTTTAGTTTACTCTGTGAACTTATCATCGATAGCCTATTGAAAAAGTACAGGACTTTGTTTCTAGTGTAGGACTATCTGAAATTGTGTATCAGAGAACTTAGCAGTATTCGAAATCAAGATATTCAAAATTCTTGATGAGAGTTTGAAACTCGAACCAGGTATTACTTCATTCTAGTGTAATCCGCTATTCGTTGGTTGTTTATCTGAACTCCACTTTACAATTTCCGGATTCAAACCATCATTTTACTACTAGTAAAAGTATAAGTCTGAAACTACATAAAATGTTTACAATTGTATATAGTAATCCTACTGACGATACTCATGTTCTTCAGATTCTATTGTATTGACAAATTCTAAAAATATTGACAAATTCATATGAACAATTACATGATGAATATAGATGTAAACTACATTTATTGTAGATCGTTGATTACTGTTACTCATTCGGTCTTTCCCTTACAATTCTACTCTTCAAAGCTCCATAATCAACTACGGGATGATATAACTCACTGAAATAACATCTGATTAATGGTGATTAACTATTTGTAAAGTTACTTTGATTTATTTCAATCACTTGACTATAGGAAACCGACAGAGAATGTTCTCTTATTGATAAAACACAAAATAGGGTGAACGTTTAGGTCCTTACATCAAATAATTAACTTATATGATAATAATTATTATACGTTCGATGTGACAATAATATTACATTCCTTGAAAAGCTTCCACCATTTTCATTTATCATATTTTTTTACAACAAGTGTGATTGAGTTCAAAAAAGCACTATGTATGTTGAAAACTCAGATTGTTCAATTAAATAGAAATAGTAATAAACATTCTAAACGAAGATGGATATTGGCTAGCAGTGGAATCCAGGATGCACACTTCAACAGATCATTTGCAGCGCTAAACGTCAATCTGAAGATTCAAGTAAACAATACCAAGTGAATTTAAACATCACCCCATTAAACAAGCAGGTGGCTATGAGGACTCAGTAGCTACGTGGAAAATGTGAAGGAATTCGGAACAAACCATACTGGGTTCAATTCATAGAGTGAACATCAAATCTGAGATGCAGGTACATCCAGCTCACGCGTTCGAAATAGAATGAAACGACAGTCAAACTGGATTCCACTGCCAGCCATTATCCATCTTTGCATATAAAGATTGTGACCTAAGGTGATATAGAGGCAATTCTAACAGTATGCACATATGCAAATAAGAGACTGATCGATTACAGTGCTAAACATCAATCGAAATATTCAAGTGATCAATAACAAGTGAATTCACTGTTAAAGATTATCTCGATTATTCTTACCTGTCAGCAGTTTCAATCGATTTTGAACTTCTAAACGTTCATTTGAACACTTTATATCTAAAATAACCAATTTTAATATGTAGCTGATCAATTTCACTGCATACATTCATCGACCTGTTCGTATTCATCTCCGGTTTCCTTCAGTTGATCTGAAATACATTTCAGTATTAGTAGTAGCTTTATTTAATATTATATTTTTAGGATAGAATAGAATATACGGAATAGCGTATTTCAACAAGTTTCCGTTTCCTTATGCTTGATTGATCCTGACGATTAAGATTGAGTGATCTCCAGTTATATGTTAGCAGTTCAGTCAATGGACATCTAAATAATGTACATTCTTTACATTGAATATTGTTAGCAACCACGATATCTCTGATTGTGCCTTTGTAACTTGTACAACGAAAAGTTGTACAATTTAAAAAAACACATCAAATTAGATAACGTGATGAAATATCCAGATGCCAGGAACAGGTAAATCAGATATTTAAGCAAGCTGCAATCAATAACTTATCGTATTAGTATGAAGCCTCCATAAAATTTCATCAGCTAACTATGGAAATGATCAAAAAACCTGAAATGTGAACACACGATTGATTTTATTTAACTGTTTGAATATTTCCAACACAACCGCTATGTTATTTTATAGTATCATTCGAATTTATTATTGTAACCTAAACATTTTATGCAAAGGTGTATAATGACTAGCAGTAAAAATGGAGAACGCATATTTCGTCCTCTTTTAAATTCATGAGGTTAGTGTACCCGCATCTCAGAATTGATGTTCACACCATGACCCTGACACAGTACCGTTCGCTTCAAACGTTATCCACCTGCCTATTGAGTCCTTGTTACATCCCGATAAGAATAGTGAATGGTAACCTTTGGGATACTTTAATGGACCAAAACTATGCGTATAAATTCACCATATAATCATGAAATGACAGAACTATATATATTCATGTCCTTCTTATTATGAGCTTTATTTTGATTCCTGAACTGTTGTTATACGAATAACCGTTTTCGAATTATGCCCTGTCTATAATTTACTATCTCCCTTATTCACAGCCACACTTGGATAGGTCTTGTACAAATGTTGTTTCTTACTTCATGTTACTATATGGTCTCTCTGCTTTGTGAATATACCTAGTATGTTTGAAACAAAGGATTCATACTGCTGAGGCTGGAATTGTGTTGTGGACCTAACTGGCTGTGCTTGGCTGGGTAAGATGCAGGGCCGATAGGTACTCTTGACTTAAAATAGCTAACGCTCACCCACAAGATTAACAAAATATTCTACGATATTTTGAAGTGATAAAAGAGTACAAGTGGTAAAATTGATTTCATTTTGAAAACATTACTCTCCTTAAACTGGCTAACATAATCACAAGGTAAAAGTTAGACATTTGGACTGATGAAACGATGAATTTGTAAAGGAAATGTCGAAAATGTTAATTTTAGGAACTTTCAGACTACAACACAATAACTTGTTAGTACATGAATGTGTTCGTAACTAGACAAAGAAGTAGTTACAAGAAACTGTTATTTTCAAGGACTGAGTATGTATAAAATGATGTTTAAAAGGTCATTATAGTCATTACAAGTTCAATTTATCCAGCTCAAAGAACTCATTGCTCCCTAGTCCGCGATATTTGCTATGATAATAATGGATTTTAAATTATGTTGCTAGTACGGAATTCCACATTAGTGAAGATTCACGATCCTCAAACTGGAAATTGGATCAAACACATTAAGTCTAGTGTACAAAAAACTAATCACATAATTACATTGTTTAATAACATAGCATGGCATAAATATCGTCAAACTCTAATCAATTCACCATATTGAATGACTAAATTGTACATGCTGTGAGGTGTATAACTATCTCTTACATGATCTAGTTCAACTACACTCTTAACACGTTATCAATACACCATAGGAATTACCTGTGAAATCCTCTATTTTCCTTTCAGCATCTTCAAAACTTTTTATCATGCTTTCAATATATTCTGAAAATAAAATATTAGGACATTTGAATGAAAATAAATATTACTCGAATTAGACTCTCCACTGTTTTGTTTAAACAATTAGGTGTTTAGAAACTATGAAATTTTGTATTAATCTTTCATGTTTAACAGTATACTGTAATTATTTAACAAATACAGTAAGAATTGCATTTCAATGAATGCTTATACGAATGCATCTCAAGGTGGTGGTCCAAAGTAGTCGATAGGAAACTCTGGACCTGAGTTTCATGCAGTTTGGCAATAGTCAGCAAGGTACGCCCGTAGTGTTGGCTGAACTAATGTTTCCTTACCGATTGAATTCCATGTCACTCACCATCACAGACACAAATGTTATCACTGGATCGCGACTGATCACCTGTAGGACTGAGATGTATTCACAATTATTTGATTACTGATTGGTGATCAATGTCATTTTTTTCAGGTTCTGCTGAAAACCACCAAACACCACTTTTTCTCAATACACTGTACACAGAATTGAGTCAACTAGAATATTAGCCACATTGTAACCACATAACATTCAATCTACTCTAAGAAGGACCTGACATACACGACACTGATCATCACATAGTAATCAATCAATTATGAATACTGGTGAGTGGCCTAAATTCTTTCACAAAAGAATTAACAGGCGCAAGTCAATAAGTAAGTAAGTCAGTAATTAGGTAAGTGAGTCAATGTGAAAACAACAAACGTTACACCAGAGAAAAAATCTTTTCAACCAATTATCTCATAGTAATATGTTAAACTAATAGCTTACTCTTATTTTCTTTCCATTTTCTTATTATAGATTTTTGTTTTGAATCAATGTCTACTAATAAACACAAAATTTACTTTTTAACAAAACATCTAAATTAACATTTTTTAATGAATATTGATTTTATTCATATGAAAGTATATAGAAAACGTTAGATTTCAATGTCTCAGGTACATTATCCAACTATGTAGCATCAATATCAGTGGTAAACTAGAAACTTTCACATTATGAATAATGCTTACTTACTTACATACGCCTGTTTCTCTGAGTGGAAGTGCATAGGCCACCCACCGGCTGTTAACATCAGATCCTATCCTGAGCAATTCTTTCCAGTTATTTCCAGTTATTATTCATCCCTTCCATGTTTGCTTCCAATTACCAGCGTACAGTGTTCTTTGGCTCTGAACTTTTCCGTTCCACTTCACAATTATAAGATAGGGCTTGTCTAGTGATCCATTTTAGTTATTTCCAGAATGTTTGTCTAGTCCATTTCCGACGTCGTTTCCTAGTCTCTCCCTCCGCTAGAAGCTGTTTTTAGTTCTCGCACAAAAAGTTGTTGATGAAATTCAATCAGAGGATAGTGAGTATCTTTCGTATGCAAAAATTTAAAATTACTAGTACCTCCTTAATGATGGTAGTTCTCCGAATTTTACCTCTGTATAGTGCAACTAACTTAACGTTCGTATTGAACGGTCTGACTTTGATATTAGATGTCTGTTGTTTTGAGTTCCATATGTTCATCAAATATAGGAGTGCAGCATTTGCTTTGCCATATTACCAATGAGTTAGTATCATCATCATTATTAATTATTTGCTTTATTCAATATTAAGTGTTTGGTGCAATGTAGATTTCAGTGCAACCCGCTTAAATGTCAGGGATACTTGTTTTTACCATTTGGATATTTCAATCAGTTATCTGTTTCCTTGTTTGTTTACACATATCATTATGTCGTAAATTGCATAAACTATTCAGGTACGTTTATGAAAAAACTACGACGTCTCTCTGTACGAGTTGCAAAAAGAATTCAATACGAGACGTCGTGGTGGACAGTAAAATGCAGTGAAGTGAATGTACATTATTCACATGTCGATCAACTGAACTGCCAACTTATAACTGAAGATCACTCAACATATATCATCAAAATCGATCAAGAAATAAGAAACGGAAACTTTCTGAATTATACAAAACTCAGTATAAAGTATTTCATCAAATTTCGTTGACTTACTTCATGATCAATCCTGATGATAAATATTGAGTGATCGACGGTTGGATGTTATATTGTTCAGGAATTCAAATCTGAATGACCTTCATTTATTCTAATGAACAATAATAGCAATCACGATGTCTCTGATTGTACACTTTTGTATAGATAAATGTCGGAAACGTTTCACAAAGATACCTGAATAGGTTATGCTTTCAATCAAGATATTATTGTGTTAAAACAAACATGGAAATAAATGACTTATCGAAATATCTACATGACAGGAACAAGAACCTTCAGACGTTTTGGCAGGTCGTCATACAAAGAAACGAAACGTTAAAATCTTTACAAATCTCATTCAGATTAGACTCTTCACTGTTTGTTTAAACATTTGGGTATTCAAACCATAAAAGTTGTAGATTTGAAAATGTATGTTTATGTCAAGTTCACTTGACAACTTACTGTTTTGTACGGATGCCTGTACCGTTACTACAAGTACATTCATATAAATATAATGATGAAGAAGAAACAGAAGAAGACAAAAATTATTGAACATCATGAAGATTATAAACGGCAGTTTTATGGTTTTATGGTTTTATTTTTATTCTAAATCGGATGATCCTTAGTTAAGTCATGATAGTAGATAACTAATCTCTATGATTGGCTGAATAATAAGAAATATTTAGACATAATTTAATGACATAATAAGATCTTCTCATTCATATTATCATATATCTGATTGTCATCAATTATTTTAAGCTGTGTGAGAATTTCACAACTACTTCAATAACAAGACACTTATTATTGAATCTTGTTTTTTGTGGTCAGACATACTATCGACCTAATAATAGTAGTTGTAGTAGAACTGTGGTGTGTGTTTCTTACATCTTTATACGACGTATGTGGTTAGGGTCAAGCATATAATGTATTTTGGCAGAAGATCGATAAAGAAAAACAAGAATGAAGAGCATGAACAATGAAATCAGAGAAGATAGACATATTTACAGAAGGAACGATCGAGATTGAGACAATTGATTGTTATTTTGCGAATTAACTGTTTATTGTATGGTTATCAGATTTTAGTGAGATAGTTTGTAATATGTGCTTGAATACATTCGTTTCTCCTGACATGTGTTTTGTTTACTACAGTACTAGCAGTAGTAGTATTGTTAAAGAGTTATCAATAGTAGTGTAAGTTTCATTGATCGTGAATGTCGATCGTTATGATTGTTATTGAGACTCTCATGTGATACTGATAATTATCCATAAAATATACGTTAAGGTTATCAAGTTCATTGTTGAATGAATTATTTTTCAGATATGTTGTTGTTTTTAAATTTGATGCGCGTTGCTAAGAAGTCCTATAATACGACGAAATGGTTGTTCAGTGCTTCCAATTTTCCCATGATGGTCTAGCAAAAATTGACTCAACTATTAACATTATTGTAATCTCCAGGAAATCCCTTTTCTCATAGGTTTGAAAAAGTAACAAAAAACTATAAAAACTATTCCTGTCATTTGTTCCATATTTAAACTTTGTTATGTATGATGTGAACAGAGAAGCAAGAAGCCTTGACAAACTACAGAAGTTATGTTCGGGGACTTCAATTCATTATATTCAAAGCTTGTAAAACAGTTACATTCACTTTTGTCTCTAGTCTATTTTAAATCCACCAATAGCTCTTCTGGAGATACTGCCGGTCTCAAACTTGTGAAAAAGATGATGTTTAGGCACGGGGTTAGGGCCCTCATTCCGCGCAAATCTAACACGCTAAGAAAGCTCTAACCAGAAAAAACAATTCTGGCCGTTTACACTCCGTCCTGGGATTTAAAAGAAGAATTATGACGCCTTAGGATGAAAGCCGAGATTTTTCGGAATTCGCGAGGTCGATGCCACTTTCAAACAACCTGAGCAAAAATTTTTATATGTACATGGAACGTACGTACAATATTTGATACCAGGAAGACCGGTCAAATGTTAACGGAAACGCGAATAAAAAAATTGACAGTACTTGGAATCGGAGAGACTCATTGGATACAAGCTGGACAAGAAAGTCTAAGTACGAGAGAGATGCTGCTCTACTCTGATCACGAAGAGGAAAATGCTGCACACACTAAGGGAGTTGCTCTTATGCTGCCAAGAGAAGCACAAAAAGCACTTGTAGAATAGTAATCTCACGAATCCAGAATCATCAGAGCATCATTCAAAAGAAAGAAGAAGGGGATCACAATGAAAATAATGCAATGTTATGCACCCACAATGATAGCAACAACGACGATAAAGATTAGTTCTACTCTAGGCTGCAATGAGTCATAGCGAAGTGTACAAGAAAAGATCTCATCATCCTGATGTGAGATCTACACGCTAAAGTCGGAGTGGACAGCACAGGATATGAATACATAATGGGACGACATGGACTAGAAGAGAGAAATGAAAATAAGGAGAGATTTGGAAATCCATATGCTTTCAACAAATTGGTTATAGGCGGTACAGTATTTCCACACAAATGTTTACTCAAAGCTGCATGGATCTCGCCGGATAACACCACAAAGAACCAGATAGATTATATTTGCATCAACAAAAAAATTCCGAAGGACAATGGCGGATGTGAGAATCAGGAGAGGAGCTGACATAGCTCCAGATCACCACCAGTTTGTCACCAAGATGAGACTGAAGCCAAAGAAACACTGAAGAACTGAGGAAAACAGCATTACAAAGGTTCAATACAGCCTTATTTTGAAACACTGAGAAGTTGAACGAATCCAAGATAACTCTCAGCAACATGTTTCAGGCCTTACAGAATTTACTGAAAGAAGAAGAACTGAATATGGATGAAGGAATCACTAACCTCAAAGTGTCAGTAGGTGCTGTGTCGCAGCATGCATCATCATAATGAATGAATCTCTATGGGAACCCTAGACAAGATTCAAGAAAAGAAGAACAAGATGACGGCAATTAATAACCATCAAACACAATTAGACAAAGTCAAGGCACAAGCAGACCACACAAAAGCAAAGAAGCAAGCAAAGTAGAGCATTAAAGCTAGCAAGCACAAATACATGGGAGATCTGGAAAAAGCTGCAAGATAAAGAAATATGAAACGACTATGTGATACGAAGAAGAAACTATCTGGGAGGTATGGTAAACCAGAGAAACCATTCAAAGACAAAGAAGGAAAGTTAATAACGGAGATTCAAGAATACAGGAACAGATGGGTAAAATACTTCGAGGAACTGCTGAACAGAACAGCCGCGTTGAATCCGCTGGATATCGCAGCATTACTACAATTGAAGGACAAATGGAAGAACTGGCAACCAATATCAAAATGAGAATCTTCAATACAAACGTCCAGACCGTCTTGCTGTACGGAATCTAAACTTGAAGAACTACTACAACCATAGTCAAGAAGGTTAAAGTATATATATTTAGTTGTCCTCTGGAAATATTCAACATCCGTTGACCGGATATCATGAACAACACCTTTTTGTGTGTGAGCGGACAAAACAGCTTCCAGCCGGGGGACAAATTGGGACAAGACGTTGGAATTGGATAGGACATAAATTGTGGAAATAAGCAAACTGCATCAAGAGACAAGCTTTAACCTCAAATCGTGAAAGGGGAACGAAAATGTGAACCACAAAGTACAAGTGAATTCGTGAAATAGGAGCAAACATAGAAAGGATGAATAGAGATTTTAAAGAACTGAAAAAGAATTGCCCAAAACAGGGTTAGATGAGGAATGCTGGTGGGGGGCCCATACTCCTCACGAGTGATTACAAGTGTAATTAAAAGAATAATTTCCGTCTCTTTAGCATGATATGATCGTATCTCGCTTCGATTTTCTTTTCGATTTTATTACGTACATCTTCTGAGTAAGCTGAATTGTTAAGTCCGATAAAGAGTCTTCCGCTATAATTATATTCCCCCTTTGCTTGTCGACAAGTCAGGTGGTTTGTCAGTGTTTTGATATGATCGTTCCTATGGGGTTGTGGTGTGCGCTGATGATGTCAACAGATAGTAGAAAAACGTATGTATCGTCAATCAGAAGCGAAATACCTGACGGCAGAAGCTTAGGAAGTTCGAAGTGTGGAGAATGAAAACAGAGAATGATTAGCGAAGAAACAAAAGAACAATGGAGTGCAAGACGACTGATTGACATCTTGCAAATGATGGAATTATTGTACGATTCTCAAATTTCACTAGGGGATTCCGTAGTTTTGTGCTCAAATACATTTTGTTATTCCCATTTGTGTTCTAATTCACCAAAATGCCACAGACCTTCATGGAAATGAAGTTTAACGCATACACCTTAGTCACAATGTTCTGCTGAGTAACCTTAGTCACCAAGTCAGTAAAACAGTCCTACTAAAACTTTCTATCTCTATTCTTATTCATTATTGACTAGCGTGTGGCGAAAATAGGTTTATGACGTACAGTAAAACAAACAATGCTAAAAGTAGCTTATGTAGATCGATCACGAAATGAATGTGATAAGTAACACTTGAAATTCCTCAAGAAGAATTAAAGTTGTATTGAGGCTGTTATATCTGCAGAAGTTACTTGGCAAATGCCTTATTTTTACTGTCCTTCCTTAAAAATTCGAATAACTTGCTTTTGCGCCAAAAGCATATATTTTCGCGCTCATTTTACATTTCTCACCTTGGATGATCTTGAACGAAATTACTTAGTTGTCTCCCTTAGTAGGCTATTTTGTAACGTTTCCGAAAGGCATTTTCATACTGTATATATACTCTTTTGCTGTGCTCATTGTTGTAGTTTGTGCTGCTGGCTGCTTGCGTAATGTATTATTCCCTATTCAGAACTTCGACATTTGTCTCCAGTTAGCGAGACTGAGACGCGTCGGCATAGTTAGCTGATTTAGTCATCGTGTCACCGAGTCTTTTTTCAGTCAGCACATTGGGTGAACACCTAACCTCTCCAAACATAGCAAGACTTGTTTTTAGTAGACAATTGTTCCAAGCACAACCTTGTTTATATTTGTTATTGATGCAATAAAACCAACCAACAAAATTTTTTGCTCTTTTAGAAGGATAATCGGCTTATAAATCTGAAGTGATAAATTTATTTACATATTAATCGAATAATTTACTGCTTCATAACAGTCATTAAACGTACTAAACATAAATTCTTATACTGTCTAGAAGTTCACCTGTGACAATTCGCAGACAACGCTGATGCCAAATTGTCGATTCATTATAATTACTTTCTTTGTGAAAAGATAAATAACTGCCAGTATAAGGTTGTGGAGAATCCTGAGTTTAAATTGATATCATGAATGAATCAATGTCAGGCCATCTATGAAACCTGGAAGTAATGTATGGCTGAGTCGTCATGTTATAAGACTTCTCAACAGTGCAAATCCACGATTCATCATGTAAGAATGAAACTCAGTACCTTCGACCGACTCTTAAACTCCAGACCATTGAGCTGGCCTGCATTCAACCGTGTTTATGTCGAAATTCAAACCATGCACGATATTGTGAGTCTCACAACACAACGAAACAGTCGACATGTGCTTCCAGGTTTTCAATAGTGAT